CATAAATGAACCAGAATCTGATGTGCTAAGAACCTGAATGTGATGCGCTAAGGGGACCTTTATTATAATGAGAATACTTCAAACCATTGTCTGTTCTCTGGAAATGAAATCTTAAGAACGTTCTGGATCAGTTTATTGAAAAATTAACAGGAAAAAATATTTCAGTAACTAGGTACACATGTAGGCCTCTATGTGACTATACATGTACAGATTGTACCGGTATTTTGATTTTGGTATTGCTTTGCTTCACACTAAATTACTGAATAAAGCTTGTCTGATAAGATGATATTATTTTCTTTGTTACTCCATGAATTACTTCCTTTGTAATACCATATGATAATAGATTGTACAAGAGCGAGGAGAATTTCGAGCGGGGGGGGGGGGAAGTCGAGGGACCCAAGGAAGCTCAACTCCTAGGGGCCCTGCCATGGGATAATGCGGTACTCTCTCTCTCTCTCTCTCTCTATATATATATATATATATAGGTATGTGTACTATAGAGAGAGATACAAGTCTCCCCCCTTACTAACAGGAGAGAGACACAGAAGCAGAGATGAATAGATAGACAGATTTATAATGCGTCAATGCTGTTGTCCGTGTGTGTATGTCTGTGACTTTTATGTGTGCACATATGCGTATATTATGTACGAGGCAATTAACATCCCCCCCTAAACGCCGCCCCTTTCAACAAGTATCAAATTTCGCGGCGATTTCATGTTTTGGTTCGCTTGTTAGTATCGGTGAATGCCGGAGTTAGCGCTTTTGAATACTTGCGAATATTAAATATATTCCTTTTAATAAGGAAGGCCGAGTGCACGTTACCAACCATTAAAAGAAAATAGGATTATTTTACATTGGCAATATACGTTCATGATGAATATTTTTCCCCGATTACATACCGCTGCACATAAAAAAAATCTACATTGATTCTTTATGCAAAATATTCAAAGAAAAAGTTATCCGAGGGTGGTTGTTTAAGTTAACTCAGCGAAGAATGAAAGGAAGTAACGAGCAGGAAAGGTAATTGTTATGGAGTAAGGACGAACACATACACCAAGACATATCGGTACCATTTTCTCATTAATTCATGAATTAGATATTTACCTGGAAACTTTCCTTACAGTATCTTTTATTACTTACCTTGCTATCACTTTTATCTTCATTGCTTTATCGTCATTATCCCTGTCACCATGATTAACACATTCATAGATATCCTTACCTAAAATGGCCATCATAATCAGCATAATTACCATCGTAATTCTCTTTATCACAGCAGTTACCTTTAATATTACAATGCATTACAAACCGCATTTCACTGTTTATCATCCCATTGTAGTTCTTATACTGATCATCACAATTACCAATAATTGACATCATTAGAAGCCTTTTCGTGTCAACATTTTCGTCATCGTCACTACCATCATTAAAATCTTTGTTCTCTTTATTGTTACTACCAATATTATTACCGTTATATTATTATTAATAATAATTACTAATATTGAAAATATTATTAATATTATTAATCTTGTCAATGTTGTTAATATTATTAATCTTGTCAATATTTTTAATATTATTAATCTTGTCAATATCATTATTATTATTATTATTATTATTGTTGTTGTTTTTGTTATTATCATCATGATCGTTATTGTTATTATCATGATCGTTATTATTATTATTGTCATTATTATTATCATTATATTATCATTATTATTATTACCACCATACGCATTAATATTTCGCATTCATCATAAGTAATCATACCCTCATCTATATCCTTAAGGTGATCATAATCATCATCTTCATGATTACAACTAACACCATTATCTTTATGATTTTTCTCATCTTCAGTTTTGTCATCATTATCATCATAATCACTATTATAATAATGATTATCATTATAATGATTAACATGCTAATTATTTTCTTGATCATCAAATTTATCATTACCGCCGTTATTTGTCTTTGTTTTATTACACGTGAGCCAATAAAGTTACACGCTCGTAGTTGATTTCAGCCGAGCGTAGAGAGTGCCGATTCCCGTGGTGCCCCACATGAACCTCTTGCAAGCATCGGTGGCGAGGCAATCGAGCCGATAGCAGTTTGCAACTCAGCCTCACCCTTTTCCCCTTCCCCTCTCCCCCTGTCCCTTGCCCCTTTCCTTCTCCCCTGCTCCCCACTTTCCCTCCCATCGTGTCCCTTGCCCCGTCCCCTCTCCAATTGTCCGTTGCCCTTTCCCCTCTCCCCCTGTCCCTTGACCCTCCCCCCCTTTTCCCTTGCCCTTTCCCCTCTCCCCCTTTCCCTTGCCCCTTCCCCTCTCCCCCTGTCCCTTGTCCTTCCTCTCTCCCTTTACCCTTTCTTCTATCCTCTTTCTCCCTTCCCTCTGTCCCTTTACCTTTGTTCTTTCCCCCCTGCCTCTTTCCCTCTCCCTTACACATTCCTCTGTCCCCTTCCCCCCCTGCCTCTTACTGTTTCTTCCATATGCCCCTTCCTCTTTCCC